AGTATTGTATACTTCATTTAAGAAAAATTTTTTCATTTTGCCATTGATAATTTAGAATTAAGGATCTCGTTATGTTTTTATAAATTTTTTACCTACATATAAACATGAAATTTAATTTATAACAACGATTAATTGGTTTCAATTGTTCTTGTTAACAATTTAATATGGTATAAAAATTTTAGTTACATTCCTAACTTCTTAATGACAAATGCTATTTCGTCGAGTAAGTACTGTAAATAAATTTATTTATGTATGCACATCTATAATCGCTTTATAGAACATATAAATCAATCAAAATACATTCACATCTTCATAACACTATGGGTAAAAGAATTTTTTGATTTAGAAAATCTTTATTTTTTAATATTTAGTAACTAATTAAATAGCTATTAAATCACGTCTATTCTTATTCATTTATGAAGTCATCAACGCTTTACTGCGTTAACAATATCTTTTTACTTTAATGACATCATCGTCCTTGCACTGTAGTCTAGTCTTCTTTTCTTTTAGTCTTCTAGTCTTCTTTTCATATGTATGTAATATGCACATACATACATACATACTTATGTATGTATATGACGCCATCCTGCAAGCACTGCAGCCCAGTATTATTGTAATTATTATTCTAAAGAACAAGAAAAAATTTAGTGATTGATTAAAATCAATGGAATGGAATTCATTCTGCATTCTTTTAATGATATAATAAATTTTAATTCATATTTGTGATCGATTCTAATCAACAACAAAAACATTTGAAATAATGAAATCTAATAAAATGTGTTTAATACAATATAACGTATTATAATGTTAATAGCTTCGGAATATTTAAAATATACATCAAAATTAAGTATACATTAATGCAAAATTTCAATTATTATATTTAAAATTAACTAACTAACACTAAATCGAAAATTTCATCCACTGTCAAATGTCACTAAGCCAGAGGTGCAAAAAACTTCTTGCGCATTTTACACTCAACAAAAAGTATGCGTACTTTTCTAAATTGTGTTTCTATTTATAAGAAACCAATAACAAATAAATTTTTTATTATTACCTTTATATTGTACCTTTATTTTAAACACAAACTAGTTACCAACTGCTTTATACAAAAATCATAATGATAAAATGCCAAAAATATGTATACATCTATTCTGTGCAAAAAACTTGAATAAAATCGTAATACATATTTGATACTTAAACTTTTTTTGTTGAGTGTATGTAAAAAAAATTTTATGTCGCCAATTTAGATGTAAGATCAAAAAAAAAACAAACAAAAAATGTATTCATGGATAGATTGTATGAGTTTTTGATATTATTAAACTTTCTTACGTCTCTGTGATCGGTTGTCCTGTAATATTTGTAATATTATATTTAAATTTGCGCATCAATTTTCAAAAATTTTTGAAATTTAAGACTTGAATATTTATTGGTAATTAAATAAATATTTAATATTTTGTGTTGATATGCTGTTTTGTCATTTATCATTTTACTGTGAAGTGAAGAGTAGTGAAGTGTAGTTTTCTTTTGTGAAGAGTAGTTTGAATAAAATTAAATTTTTAAATACATTGTATGTGCTTAATTATAGATATGAAATGGTGTAATATGCAAACCCCCTTATTTAAAATAATTACAAATAGTTATACAAAAGTATTTAAAAATAAATGTGTGCAGTTTAACTATAAGCAAACAAATTAAAAGAAATGGATTTGCATATGGCTATGTACCGACTCAAGTTCTATTACGGTAATTATTAATTGATCAGTTTTATTTATTATAATTATTAATTGATCAGTATTATTTATTGTTGCCGTTGTATTTTTAATAATTGCTTTTCTTTGCCATAACTGCGGTCCACATGGGTTTTACGATTGCTTTATACTATATTAATAGTTTGTTGTTTCGATTAAAATTAGAGTTTTTATTGAAAAGGATTTGTTCTTATTTTTACTACGTAATCCTTTTAATTTTCTAGAAGAGATTGTTATTATTTTTAACTTCGAATGAAAACCAAGTGCACGTTTATGATATGTTTTATTATAATTTGTACTACATAAAACATTTTGTATCTAACGTTAACTATATATATATACTTATCAGAGTCATAAGTCTACAAGCAGGCACTACAAAAAACTTTGTTTGAAAATATTTTTCAAAAAAATCAATTTATTGGAAACATATTTTATTGTTTTTTTATAACATTCAATGCACAATGGTTTTGCGAAGTTTTGTTGCATTTCTGCATAATACAGACGAGATAACGGTACTTTTATCATAAAGAGTAGCAAAACAAATGATCAAAAGTCTACAAACACTTAGTATTTCTGCAGTTCTAAGGCGAGTTAAATGTTAATTTGTAAAAATTTGGATTACGTCTTACTGTGTTTTGTGGTATTTAATCATAGAACTGCAAAAAATTGTATTCTGCTTAAAATATTTACTACAAACTGGTAATGGTGTCTCACCGGAAAGAAATAAGCGTCGTAGAAAGAAAAATCATCATAAAATTTTGGGAGGAAGAGAAGTCGAATCGAAAAATTGGACATTTGTTTGGAAGATCACACTGTTCAGTCCATACCGTGATCAGAAATTGGAAAACTACCGGAATTATCACGTCAAAGACGCGTTCTTCTCACCTATCGAAACTAACTCGCCGTGAAATCCGCTTAATATTAAATTCAGTAAAGAAAAATCCAAATTTGACGGCATTAGAAATTGTACGTAATATACAGGAAAGATTTGCAAAAAATATTTTCGTGGTTACTGTACGCAGAATTTTGAAATGGGCCGGTTTTCATGGTAGAAAAGCACGAAGGGTGTCTTACATATCTTTAATTAATCGAACCAAGCGCATTGCTTTTTAAAATAAATATGTAGGTATGCCGGAGCAGTTTTAAAATAAGGTGCATAACTCCGAAGAATCCAATTTCTGTGTTTCTAGCATTCAAGGATGTAAATTAGTATGACGTAAGCGAGATGAAGCATACAATAAACAAAGTCTTTTCCCAACTGTAATATATGAAGGTGGTGCACTGGTGCTCTGGGGTTGTATGACAGCTAAAGGTATGGGAAATGTTGAGTTTGTGGAAACAACAATGAATAGAGATATTTATCTAAACATTTTGAAGAGTTATATGCGATCAAGTGCTGACAAATTGGAACTAACAGATAGATTTTACTTTCAACAGGACAATGATCCTAAACATACAGCATAAATTTTGCGTCTTTGGTTGCTATATAACGCTCCAAAATTGCTGAATATGTCTCCACAATCACCGATTTTAAATCCAATTGAACATTTATGGGTATTTTTGAAAAGATAAACTCGTAAATATTCAATTTCGACCAAATAGGATTCAAAAGACATAATCCTAAAGGAATGGGGCGAAATAATAACTCAGGAATTCAGTAAACTTGTAGTTTCGATGAAAAACCGTCTAGTGCAAGTTCTTAAGCGTTACGGTTACCCAAATAGTTACTAAATTGCATAAAAAATCAGAAATTTTACCAGTAGCGAGGCGTCAGCTTTTTGGCAAGGTGTTCACAATTTGATCAAAACAGAATTCCAACTATAATGTATTCCCCCTACTCCTGAGTTTTTGTCCTCTCCACAAGCAAATAGCATACAAGATCAACAAAACAATTTATTTAAATGTTCGCAGCCTGTGATCCACTGGTTTTTATTTACCATAAAGCTGTAGCTGTAGTAAAACGGCGACTTACCACAAATTTCGACATTTTTGCATCAGGTACCAAGTTCTTCATATCTGGAGTTGGTCTATTCATTTTATGAATTAAAGCCTGTTTTCCAGAAGATCGTTTAAAAAAAGATATTTGAATCAAATCTTTAATCACACATTAATTCATTTCTAAATATTATTTTTCACTTCAAATTTCTTTAATTTTTTTCTTTACTTTTACCATTTGCTAGTATAAAATTGCAATAATGACTTTG